TAGACAAGATGGCGCTGCAAGATGGCGGCTGCCTGTAGTGGCGACCCGCGACCATGGAGATATAAACAGCTTTTTATAAGGTAAAAATAATAAAACAAGGTCTTTGCAATGATTAAACATGTTTTTTTATTATTGTCATCAGTGATTATCTCAATTTCGGCTAAAAGACTTGACAAACTCCTACACACTGTGCCTTTAACTGACTGGACCACTTGTTTCAGCCACGATCATCTTCATTCTAGGCTACATCTGCTACAGTTTGTCCTGCTGGAATGTGATGATTTCTACATGGTCAGTCSTTTTTTTCTGCTCTGTTGTCAACATGTACAGTAATGGGAAATCCAGAGTCTTGCCCGTTTAGCGTTAGTCGTTAGCTTCTCCAGCCGATCACACGGTCATGTAGTTTTTGCGCACTCCAGCTGTTCTAAGCCCGGGACACACGGACAGAGGCAGGTGCCATGCACCGGTGCCACAGGCCCTCTGACCACTGTTATCTTCATCATTCTCAGCTTCTTCTCTTTGTCTCTTTCCATAAACATCTTAACTTGCCATTCTGGTTTATCTGTATCTCTTTCCTTTCTTTTCAAACCCCCAGGTAATGGAGGAAAATGGCTGCCCGTCCCAAGCCTGGTTCTGGTTCTGCTGGTAGAGTTAACATGTTCTCTCTGTGCATGCGTGGGTTTTCTCTAGGTACTCTGGTTTCTGCCCACAGATTGAGCACATGACTGTTGGGCTGATTGGTAGCTAAACTGTCCCTAGGTGTGAGTGAGAGAGTGAATGTTTGATTGTCCCCGTGTCCCTGTGATGGACTGGAGACCTGTCCAGGGTGCACCCTGCCCCTCACACTGTGACTGCTGGATATGGACTCCCAGTGACCCTGAAAGGATGAAGCAGGTTTAGATAATGGACGGTTGAGGTGGTTCATCTGGTCAGGAGGATGACCTCCTGGACTCCTCCCTATGGAGGTTCTCCTTCCAGTTGGACAAGTCCACACCTGCCCCCCGACACCTGACTCTGTAACAGGAGGATGGGTGGATGTCCCTCAAATTTATTATTTTATTTCAACAACTTCATTAAAAGACCAAATAAAAGGCAACACTCAATGGTAATGCAATAAAACTGTATTACATTTGTGCTTTAAATTGTTACAATCATAATATTTACAAATCCTAAAAATAAACATCTCATGCTGGGCGACACATTAAAAAAAACATTTTAAAAGAAAAAGCAAAATGTTTCATTTTAAAGGTATATCTACAGTTTACAAATGAAATATGACACTGAATGTTGCATGCTAAGAGGTTGGTTTTCAGTGTAGAAAGATAAAAAGTTTTCTTCTTAGCAGAAAACATCACGTCTCTGCAGCAGGTTGATGTTCAGTTTGAGTTTTGAAGTGATCTGCCTGTGTGTGAACCCCGAGTGTCAAAGGTCACATGTTGGACAAGAGGTTCACTAAAAGTTTATCAAATAAATAGTGGTACCAACAAAAGATAATCCTTCCCATCTGATCCATTTTACACACAAGTGATTCAAACTGCATAAATAAAGATTTGATTTCATAGAAAGGCCTATTGCAATAAAAATATGCAACCTTTATTCACWGGAGAAATGGTTGGAATTAAACTCAAAATGCAACAAATACAGTATATCAGACTAAATCAATAAAAAACAGTAGACACTTCTTCAATAAACAATATTTCATAGCCCAGACATCATCAGTTGTAATCCAGGTGTGTAGTTTTATACCAAGAAGCCACAATCCAAAATAATTGTTTTGTGTCCACTTGAGGATTTCAAATTGTCTTTACTTTAAACATTGTTCAAATGTTCCTATTTCTTTAGCAGCTAGCTGCTAAATGTGCATGGGTGTTAAAATGAAGCAATTTAATCCGTCAAACTCACTTTTAAAAGGTTCCGAAGTTGTTTAGTAAAATATTTTTCTGTATAGGCAAAACAAAACCAGTTCGAACTTTTCCAACCAACCAGGGAAGAGCAGACATCGGGCAGACAGTCGTGTGAGACCACTGAGTCGATCGGACCATCGGTGGTTTTTATGTGAAAATGTTACTGTAATCTAACCCAAACGTTCTGATTATTATTATTAATATTATCATTTCAGAATATCTTTTCTACGGAGCTCGTCTGATGACTTTGGATTAAAAAAAATGTGTGACCACAAGATGATAATGCATGGTCACAAGATAGTACAGCCAGATGTTAACGTGTGACCACGAGATAGAGTGGCTGCAAGACAGTAGAGCRATAAGATAATGCTTAGCCACAAAATAGTATGACCACAAATTAATAAGTGACCATGAGATAAAAAAGTGGCTGCGAGAGATTATGGCCACTAGATATTGTGTGACCTCAAAACAGCGTGGCCACAAGTTAACATGTGACCATGGGATAAAGAGGGGCTGTGAGGCAGTATGATCACAAGATAATGAATGACTACAAAATAGTATGGCCACAAGATAATGAATGGCCATAAAATTGTATGGCCACAAGATTACTAGTGGCCACAAGATAAAGAGTGGCTGGGAGATGGTGTGGCCACTAGATATTTTGTGAACTCAAGAAAGTATGGCCATAAAATAGTTCGTGACCATGAGATAGTATGGCTACAAGATAGTTTGTGACCATGAGATAGTATGGCTACAAGATAGTTTGTGACCATGAGATAGTATGGCTAAGTTAAGTTAATGTGTGATCACGGGATAAAGAGTGGCTGTGAGACAATATGACCACAACATAATAAATGGCCACAAAATAGTATAGCCACAAGATAATGAATGGCCATAAATTTATATGGCCACAAGATAACTAGTTGCCTCAAGATAAAGAGTGGCCGGGAGATGATATGGYCACTAGTTATTCTGTGACCTCAAGAAAGTATGGCCACAAGATAGTTTGTGACCATGAGATAGTATGGCTACAAGTTAATGTGTGACCATGGGATAAAGAGTGGCRGTGAGACAGTATGACCACAACATAATAAATGGCCACAAATTAATAAGTGACCATGAGATAAAAAGTGACTGTGAGAGATTATGGCCACTAGATATTGTGTGACCTCAAAACAGTATGGCCACAAGTTAACATGTGACCATGGGATAAAGTGGGACTGTGAGACAGTATGACCACAACATAATAAATGGCCAAAAATAGTATGGCCACAAGATTACTAGTGGCCACAAGATAAAGAGTGGCTGGGAGAAGGTATGGCCACTAGATATTGTGTGACCTCAAGAAAGTATGGCTACAAGATAGTTTGTGACCATGAGATAGTATGGCTACAAGATAGTTTGTGACCATGAGATAGTATGGCTACAAGATAGTTTGTGACCATGAGATAGGATGACTACAAGTTAATGTGTGACCACATTATAAAGAGTGGCTGTGAGACAATATGACCACAACATAATAAATGGCCACAAAATAGTATGGCCACAAGATAATGAATGGTCATAAATTTGTATGGCCACAAGATAACTAGTTGCCACAAGACAAAGAGTAGCCGGGAGATGGTATGGCCACTAGATTTTATGTGACCTAAAGACAGTATAGCCACAAGATAGTTTGTGACCATGAGATAGTATGGCTACAAGTTAATGTGTGACCACAGGATAAAGAGTGGCTGTGAGACAGTATGACCACAACATAATAAACGGCCACAAAATAGCATGGCCACAAGATAACGAGTGACCACGAGGCAAAGAGTGACCTCAAGATATTAAGGTTATAAGATAAAGTGTGACCACAAAATACTATGGCCATACGTCATGGCCATACTATTATCTCATGGCCACAAATATTTGGATGTTTTTATCCAGTGTCACTGGACAGGCTCCATATTTTCATATTAGCCAATACTGCAGTTTAAATTAGTACCAGCTGAAATTTATA